AGATAAGGTATAAATATCATAACGTACATGTACCGACCTCCGAACCAAAATACGAACCTGGTACCAACAAGATCAAATATTAACCAAATTCTTATTTTACTCCTAGGGGATCTCGGAATTCGATTCCGGGCATACGCCCAGGTCCCATATTTTACTACGGACCCACAGTACCATCAGAACATGGGTCGGGGTCCGTTTACCAAAAACGTTGGCCGAAGTCAACAAAAATCAACTTTTTAGGCCAAAAATTATTATTTCATAAATTTTCCACATAAAAGCTTTCTTGAAACACGCCCAGATTGTGCACGCAAATTGAGAAGAGATAAAATAAGGTTTTTAAGACCTCAGAACACGGAATAGAGTTCTAAAACATAAGATGACCTTTTGGGTCATCACAAGATATCTATATTTATTAATTCAAATAAAGTAACCAATTAATATATATATATATATATATATATATATATATATATATATATATATATATATATATATATATATATATATATATGGTAGTTTTTACTTTTTATTATTTTCATTTTTTATAGATATTTAAATTCAAAAATAATAATTAATAACTAATCCTTAACTAAATAACTAATTAGTAACTAAATATGCCATGTGGCTTGTTTTAGGCTGCCACTTGGATTAAGGAGAGGGTTTTGTCCTCTCCTTTTAATAATATATAGATGTATATATCCATTATATCCATAGCTTGTCCTTCTTTTTGCACAAATTCCATAGATGTTTCAACATGGCAGCTTTATTCCGTATACTCATGTTAGTGATGTTAAGCCCCTCTTCTGACTTTGGCCTACATAAGTTTTCCAACGCCACCAGAGCTTTCTTACTTGCTGCAGTATCACCTGTCCATATAAACTTTCTACATATGGATTCAACAGTTTGGATGACTTTCTTTGGAAAAGGAAAGATCTGCGACCAGAAAGATTGTATAGCGACCAACACACATTTTATCAGTTGTAATCTCCCTGCATAAGTCAAAAACTTCATTGTCCACTGCTTTAATCTTCCTAGAATTTTATCAAGTAAAGGTTGGCATTGACTAACTGAGTCTTTTTTAGCTCAAAGGTACTCCAAGGTATCGAAAGGGAGTTCACCCATTGTAAAGCCATGTTTATGAAGGATCTCTTATTGAATGTCTACTGGTACTCCCCCAAAATACACACAGCTTTTGTTCTGGTTTGCGATGAGTCGTGAAGCTTTTGAGAAATCCTAGAAACAGTCGTACAACAGCTGTATGGATATTGCATCTCCTCTACAGAACAAGAACAGGTCGTTTGCAAAACTGAGCTGTATGATATTCAGTTTTTTACATCTATGGTGATAATTAAGGTTAGGCTACTCTTTTAGTGTTTTCAGCACCCTCGTCAAGTACTCCATTGCTAAGACAAATAGCAGAGGAGACATTGAGTCTCCTTGTCTCACCATCTCTTAGCTGCAAATGGCAAAGTCGGACTTCCATTGATGGTGATTGAGTATGAAACTGTTCTAATGCACTCCATGATCCACCCTATAAACTCTTTGGGACAGCATAAACCTATAAGTACTTGTTCTAGAAATATCCATTCAAGGGAGTCATATGCTTTCTGCATGTCGATCTTAATCATACACCTTGGCGAGGCACCTTTTCTTCCATATCCCTTTACCAACTCATGACTAAGAAGAATATTATCTGTCAAAATTCTGCCGGGGACAAAAGCTGCTTGGCTACCATCTACCAAGGTATCCATCACTTGCATCAGTCTTCTTGTTAGCATCTTTGAAATAGTCTTGTTGAGTGTGGTACAGCAGAAGATTGGCCTATACTCTCTGATCGAAGTTGGATTTTTAACTTTAGGGATTAAGGTAACTACTGTACTATTGATTGGCTTATACATCTTGCATGTGTTAAAAAACTCTAGTATTACTTGTATAATCTCTTCACCAATGATATGCCATGACTTTTTGAAGAAGTATGCATTGAACTCATCCCCTCCAGGTGCTTTCATGTCATCAATCCCTTTTAGTGCTTGGATTACATCCTCTATTGTAAAAGGTGTAACAAGTTAGAGATGTTGGCTTTCTTGTAAGTACTGGTCCTTTCTTTATCAACCCAGGATGTATAGCAGGCAAACCTGTAGTTGCAGTCCCTAGTAGCTGTTTGTAAAAACCAACTACTTCATCTTCAATACCCTTTGGATTTGTAATCACATCTCCAGTACTAGCTGTAAGTTTAGTTATCTGATTCTGAACCTTTCTTCCCTTCATGTTAGCAAAAAAATATGCATTACTTGTATCCCCCAATTTCAGCATATGTACTCTGGATTTCTACTTGTAAATAGACTCCTCAATCTTGTCCCACTTCTCAAGTTGAAGCATGAGATCCTTTTTCTTCAAACAAAGTGCTAGGTATATTGGAATCTCTCATCTTTCCATGCGTGTCTTTTAGCTTATCTCTGATGGAGTTAATCCTCTCTGATACATTCATAAACTCCCTTTTATTCAGGTTCTTCAAAGCTGATTTTGCATTCTTCAAATTCTGCCATATGGTTGCCATTCTTCCTTCACGCAAGAACCAATGAGCCTCTACTATCTTCCCAAAATCAGGATGTTCTGCCATACAATTGTAAAATTTGAATGGTCTCTTCTTTTTGTCACAATTTTCCTCTACCTCTATACCAAGTGGAGAGTGGTCAGAGAAAAGCGAGTCCATCACATGAACTTGTAAAGGGGGCATGTTAAGCATCCATTGGGCATTCACAATTGCCCTGTCAATTCTACTAAAACATGACTATTTGTCTATGTATATGATTTGCCAACAGTAGGTAGTTCTGTCAAACTGCAGTCTTCCATCAAATTTCTAAAGTCTTTGGTCTCATTATCTTGGACTTCTCTGCCATGGACTCTATCAGCTGCCTCCAAAATTGCGTTAAAATATCCCATTATCAACCAAGGCCCAATAATTTGACCCTCCATGTCTTTAAGCATATCCCATAAAGCTTTCCTATCTTGTATAGTATGTAATCCGTAGACTGCTAAGAAATGAAACTCTTTGGTACTATGATGAACTTTTAGAAACATATCCATGAATAATCTGTGCAGACCTCTCCAAACTGTAAAACTTATAATATTTGGATTCCAATGTGCCCATATCCTACCTTTGCATAAGTTTGAGACATTATGACACCAATTCCACCCTGGTACAACTTTATCTATAATCTTAACAGCTTTTGTATCATGAACTCGATGTTCACTTATTGCTATCATACTAACCTTATTTTCCTTCAAAAACACATTTAACTCCTTGTGCTTAAACACCTTATTAGAACACCTTACGTTCCATGTTACTATCATTATAATAGTTTGGGATTATTGTGTTGTGGCACCCCTGTATCAACCCCTCTACTCGAACTACATTCTTCAATTGCATTTGCATTTGAGCTTTGCCCTTGACCTGCTTCAACTAGCATATTAAACCCATTAAAAACTGCTACATGCCTTCCAAACGTTGGTATTTTAGGACTTTTTGTTGCTGATTTACTCTTCACTTGTTTCCATACATCCCCTCCTTCCAGCGTTTGATTTTGTATACTGTTTTCCCCAATACTCTTGCCTGGTTCCTCCCTTTGGGCCCGGTTCTGCATCTTTCCCTCATCATTAATAGGTTTTCATTCGGTCTTCTGCTTTGGGGCTTTCACTTGCTGTTGTGGGTCTGGCTTGTTCTCCGTAGGTCGTTGTTATTTTTGTTGCTTTTGACAATTGTGGCAAATTTGCATACATTTTGCACAGTATGTTGGTTTCCAGTCATACCATATTCTTACTCAATCACTCTCCCTTTAGGATCCTTAACTTTAATTTGATGGCTTTTAGAAGCTCCCTAATGACATCAATCTCTACAAGGATTCTAGCATATGAGATCCTATTTGCATTTGACGTACAAGTATCAGCATATATGGGTTGGCCCAATCCACTCCCAATTTTACGTAAAGCATTTGCACTCCAACGGCTCAATGGGAGATTAGGCAGTTTTACCCAAATAAGGATTGTCTTCAAATCTTCAGCATCAAAATTGAAATCTGTGGTCCAAGGCTTGAGAATTACTGGTCGATTGTTCAACATGTGAGGTCCTGCATACATCACCAAATTTCTCTCTTCCATACATGAAAACTTTATCACAAAATAACCAACATTGTGACTATACATCTTTGGTTTTGATGTGAACTCCCGTTGTGGTGCTATAAACCGCTCTATAGCCCCAATTATAGGTGAACCACCAACTACATATGCAATTGCAACATATTTCGATTTTTCAATCTCACTATTAATGTCCTCCTGTACCAATTCCACAATCGTCTATCCTTCAACAATCACATGAGGTATAAAAGTCAAATCCATACCTCTTGATGCCAGTTTGTTCACCTCAAATAGTGTCGTCCATGCCTTTCCTCCTAGTTTCCCTAGTTCCAGCTATAGTTTGCGTTGTGCTCCCCCATTGTTTGTTACTGTTTCATTCACTTAGTCGCTCTGAGAAAGGTGGACTTGCTTCAATTGAGGTTCTATCGCTTTAGTCTGTGCTTGCCCTATTTCCTTAGAGCTCAGATCAGTTTTTGTGGTCGCTGGAGTCATCCATGCAGGTGCTGGGGTTCTGGTGTCCTCACTTCGCATAGTAAGGGTCGGCCATATCTCCGGACTATTATTCAAATTCTCCTTTCCCTTAGTGCCCGATGGTTCCTCAATCGCTTTATGTATGTTAGCGGTGGTATTGCTCCCAATTACCCCTATCTTTGTTGAGAGGCTAGCAATAATCCCTCCGATCGAAAGGGTTTTGGAGGTACCACACGTCCTTTTGATGGTCATCCTCGAGCCCTCCCCATTTCCGATGGGCGCAGGATAGCACTTCACGCTAAACGTGCGCTGAGAGAGAAACGAGAGGAGAGAGATAACTTATTCAAAGAAGACTTTTTTTGTAGACTTTGTATTAGGAGAAAGGATTATAATAAGAAAAGTGTGTAAAGTTGGCTGTTAGTACGTTACCTTCCCAAAGCTACCGAAGTTTGCATTTATTTCCAATCTTTTCTGTTATTCAATTCGTCATCTTCCCAACTGTACTTTCTCAACCTCCTCTAAACTAACCCCTTAGCTCCTTCAAACCTCATTCTTTCTGTCAAAAGTTCCAGTTCTTTTTTTCTGGTAAGCTCCCACTTTTTGTCTTTTAACCTTATGCTTTCTGTCAAAAGGTTTCAATTTTTTCTGTTAAGTTCTTGCTTTCTGTCAAAAGATTGCATTTTTCTCTTTTAATCTCCTGCTTTCTGTCCAAACTTATCTTTTTTCTTTTCATTTTGGGGGTTAAGTTCTTGCTTTCTGTAAAAAGACTTCATTTTTATCTGTCAAGTTCCAGACTGCTTTCCGTTCAAAGATTTCATTTTTTCTGTTAATTTCTTGGTTTTTGTTCAAAGATTTCATTTTTGTTCTTCTAAAGGTTCAATTTCAATTCATGGGTTGCTCTGCTTCTCGTTCCTATGACTTTGTCACAACAGATCCACAAAACCCATGGAATTGTTCATCTTCTTCACATTCACAACAGTCTCCATATTCCTACTCAGATTCATCTTCAACTCCAGTTTCAAGAACACTCTCTCTCCCCACTCCTTTGGTTCACCATCCTGCTATGTGCAAAGGTGACACCAATCATTTGGTTTCACTTACTTCTACCACCTATGGTTCACTTGTCTTAATTGATACCCCAATTCCAAACCCTAACCCTAACCCTAATTTCCATGGTGGGAATTTCAAGAACCCTACTACCCAGATGATAAAATCCCTAAATGGGACTGACCCACAAGACCCTTTATCCCCTGATTCAGTAATCAACACTTGGGAGCTCATGGAAGGACTTGATGACTTTGATTTCCATATTGTGCAGTCCAAGATTGAGTCCCCTAGAAAGCTCAAAACCAACAATCTTGATATCCAAAATGAATTAGATACAAATGAGTTGGAAAAATCCTATGAGTTTGTTGAGCACTCGGATTCGAAGCCATTATGGAAGCATTTGTCTGAGGAACAATTGCTTGCTAAAATGGACCCTAATGTAGCTTCAAGTTATAGACAAGCACTGTCTTCCAAAAGATTTGGGTATAAAGAGTCAGAAGATTGTCCAAAGCCCAATATTGTTAGTTCGGTAGAGTTAGAGTCGAGTAATGCAAGTTTATTGAGCTCATTGTTGCCCGATAATGATGTCCGCTTAAAGGGCACAGAGGACAAGATTGTTCTGTATTTTACTAGTTTAAGAGGAATAAGGAAGACTTACGAAGAATGCTGCACTGTGCGAATGATCTTTAGAGGGTTTCGGGTATGTGTAGACGAGAGGGATGTATCTATGGATGCATCATATAGAAAAGAGTTGCAAAGTGTTTTGGAAGGAAAAACAGTTAGTTTGCCTCAGGTGTTCATTGGAGGGAAGTACATTGGCGGTGCGGAAGAGATTAAGCAACTTCATGAGGCCGGAGAACTCGCTAATCTTGTGGAAGGGTTTGCAGTTAAGCATTCTGGTTTTGTTTGTGAAAGCTGTGGCGATGCAAGGTTTGTACCCTGCCCAAATTGCAGTGGGAGTCGAAAAGTATTTGAAGAGGAGGAAGGGAAATTGAGGAGGTGCCTGAATTGTAATGAAAATGGATTGATTCGATGCCCTGGCTGTTGCCCGTGAAAATTGATCTCCATTGGTCATGTACATGATTCACTATTTTAATTGGAGATTTATGAATTATGTTATTACTTATGTATTGATGTTGAATTCTGTAGTGTCTTCTTGTAGACCTATTTCAAGTGTCCATATTCTCTAGTTCTTCAAGATTCTTGTTCACTCTCTTTTTGAACAACTCAGAAGCAATAAAATCCCAGGAGCACATAATCTTTATTTGTTTGCCCTGACAAATATGTGATTTTGAAGTGTTCCTCTTTCTTCACCTCAATGGAACTGTTGTTTCTTCTATTCTGAATGGAAGTATTCCTGGGACTCTTTGAGATTTTTAGCTTGGGTAGGCTACATTTTCAAATATTTCGACGTGTTTGTTTTTTCTCTGCTGCATGTAGTTAGTATCAACTCTTTTGAGCTCATGGATTCATGTTGGTAAATTCCTTTCTTGGTTTACTATGGTTGATATTCTATTTTATGGATTTCAACATATTAGTATATACATGTATAACTTGATAAGTTGCTTGTTGGAGTGAAAGTATCATCATCAATTTAATGACTAACTTTTTTATTAGGTCTTGAGTTAGTTGCGGAAGACTTGGACTGGAATTGAATCACAATATACCATTCTTAACAGAGACAAATATGATGCTACTTCTCTTGTAAAATATGATGCTACTTCGTCAGTTTGCAGTAATTCTGATAAGAATCTCTTGGATGTCTATCATTAACTAAAATGGTGCAACTTCTCATCATTTTGGAATGACTCTGATAAGAATCTTTGTAAATTTGGCCTCTTTTAGTAGATTTATTAGTCATTCTCTTTTCCATATCTTGCACTGTCAGACCATACAGCAACCTGGTGAACTCCAAAAGAACTGCAAAAACAAATTCTACAGGTAATATATGTGCTTTTCTCACTCGAAATTCTTATGATTTTGAGGATACATGCTTCTAACAAGATGAGTATAAAGTTTTATGCCATAATATTCAGGGCTTGGTGATTTCAGTTCTGCTTCTGCATTTTCTTCTCTTTGCGTGGTGCAGATATTTCCACGTTCTCTTTCGTATGTCAAGAAATTAAATGCTTTTATCCACCATCCTTTGCTTCCATTGAGGAAGATGCATTTTTCTAGTATATTACCTAGGCCAAAGTAAAGAACTGTCTGAAACTTGATTCCTCTGGTGATACGTATTTAAAATGTTAAAGGGTGAGGCTTATGTTGGATATACTGCTGGTTAAAAAATCTCAAGAAATGTTTTTAGCTGTGATATACTGTATAATAAAACATTGTTTATGACAGATTTTGTTCTGATTGATGCTCCATTGCTTCTACACCTCCTGCAATACACAAATTTCTACCTTTCCTTAGAGGAGGTATCAATTAAGTTGTTTGATGAGTTGCTTGGAAGCTTTTCCATATTTCTGTTGGTAGTTTATGCAGTCTTTGGTTCCAGGGTCTACGTTCTACTGAAAGACACCTAACTCTCTGCTACAGGGGCGTTATCTATCACCAACAAATATTACAACAGCTTATTTTCTTTATGTTAGGTCTGAGATTTATATAGATCAGCATGTTAGTGTTCATATATATCTGAAATCTTGAAGTTGGTCAGAAGTCAATAGCGACACTAAAAAACAAAAAAAGAATGTTGTTGTGGTTGAAGGGTTCACCTCGTTTACTGGCTTCTTTATGCTGTTCATTCAGGGCAGAGAGAAATTTTTGGAATGTCCAATGTATTTGAGATATAGGAATCAAGCTGTCACGACCCAAACCCATGGCATGTATTGTCCGCTTTGGGCCTATATGTGCCATGAGCTTGGGTCGTGGAAAATATGGTATCAGAGCCGAATCTCCCTCAGTATGATGGTGGGGCGAGCCTCAGTGAGGACGCTGAGTACCAAGGCGCTGAATGTGATGCGCATGACGGAGGTTGAGCTGATGAGGGCGAGTCAAGCAGGAGGCAGGCTTCTAGGTTGGCAAGCTTCTGAAGAAGGGATGCACATTTCACTTTCGGCTAATCCCTCATCGGAATGGGAGGGGAATGTTAAGAGATTTATTAGGCATGACACAAGTTCATATGGTACGCGCGCTTTTGGGGTTCGATGCGGCGTAGTCCCTAAAGACAAATCTGTGTGGGCCTAGGCCTGAAGCTGATAATACATGTCATGGGCTTGAGTCGTGACACAAGCAATGGTCAAAAATTGATGTAATGCAATTTTTTCTTTACTTAAATAAGGTTAAATACATTGATGCTCTCTAGACTTGGCGCCATTTTTTGTTTAGACACTTTATCTTGGGACCGACCTATTGAACACCTCACTCTCTAGCCACGTTAAGATAAAATGTCTAAGTAAAAAGTTGTGTCAAACTTAGATTGCCATATACTCACCTATAGTTTGTGAAGATATTTACTATACCCCATTCGTTACGCTTAGCATGTCAAGTTATGAATTTTCAATTGACAACATAGAGAAGGCCAAACTGTTACCATCATTCTGGGGAGAGAAGAAAAGATGACAAAGAGAGGTGCCGAAACAAATCCTTTGGATGGTGGCAATACATTGGAAATTTATCATTTTGTCTTGGCCAGAAGTGCAGACCTCATTATTGTACCCAGAATCTGGAAATGGACTGTTTGGCTAGTAAAAAACTTGGACAAGCTTGACACACCTAACTTGTAGGCCGAAATTGCACTTATTAGACTTGGTTCTTTGAAATACTAACTAATTATAAAAGAAAGAAAGAAAAAAAAAACGGTTCTGTTATAAATAGAATTGTATTTAAGATAAATGTCTATATTTTAGAGAGATTTTAGAGATTTTACTTGGTGGCTAAGTCACTCTTTTCCTATAAATAGAGGGGTCCTATTCCATTGTAATTAATCTCAAAGCAATAAGAATTCTCTCTCTTTCTTTGCAATATTCTTCTTTTATTGTTTTATAACACGTTATCAACACGAGACTCTAACCAATTGAGTAAAAGATTTGGGATTGAGCATAATGATTGTCAATTGTTCTATGAACTTCCTTCAGGATTACATTATGGATTTAAGGTAAGTATTTTACTTTACTTTCTCTTTTAAATTCTTGAAATTCTATAATTTGATTTTAAATACAAGCAAAGTCAATAAATTTTAATTATAACTCTAATAGAGTTGTAAGAAATTATAACCACCTGAGTGGTAAAATTGCCATGTCTTGCCATGATCAAATTCATGTATGATTATGGGCAAAAGAAGTGAAAGTTCGTCCTATTGAATTAGCTTCATTCTCATTTCCTTAAGAGAATATGATAGCAGTATGTGATAAGTCCGAAAAGAAGACAAAATTATTACCGTGAAGGTATCGATGGGTGTGGACGTGATAATAGGTGAAATTATAATCGTCATCATTGTGGTAATGAGAATAATAAGACTTCTTAAAATAATCCTTCACTCCGTGAAAGTAATATGTCATCTATTTGACATGGAATTTTATAAAGCACGTATAGATGATTATGGTCTATTCATGATGTGAATGTGACAACATGTGATTTATGAATACATATTTATTGTTGGAAGAATATGAACATATGCCACACTCACCTCTAGAAAGAGATTTGTAATGAAATAAGAAAATAATTTCAGTATTATGGCATGAATGATCATTGATCACGTACATATTATAATTATGCCAATGTCTATTACAGGGCAAAAGTAATAGAAGCAACATATATTGCCTATAATGATTTTCACCATGACCATAATGGTATAACTTTCTCCTTGAAAGAAATATTCACTATATAGATATTAACGAATATGTGATAGTACAAAATTAATTGAAAGCTCTGGAAGAACCAATTATACTATTTTGGAGAAATAAAATTGATCATCAATAAGGTATTGTGTTGTAGTAAGGCTCAAAGAAACTTATTTAGTTTCTAAAATATTCGCGAAAGCGATTGATTATATTGAGACTATAAATAAAGGGAAAATTTAATATCTATATTACTACAACTTGTAGCGGGGTAATATATATGTGAAAAGTTATCCGCTTTATTCTCCAGTTTGTAATACACAAAATAAAAGAATGCCACAATAAAGTGGAAGTTAATTGATATAAAAACTCATATCATAATAAACTTGGAGTTTATTGATAATTGCACACGTCATGGTGTAAACCTGAAGTTTATCAATATTGATAATTTATTCAGTTGGCATAATTGGTTTAGCCATCTTAATTTAAGTATGATGTGCAAAAATAAAAGAGAATCCACATGGGTAAATATTAAAGAACTAGAAAATTCTGTACGAATTCTCTTATGTTGTTCACATTAATTAATAGACCAACTAAAACTGGGATTGAATCCCATGAATGCTGGAAATATCAAAAGGTGAATATGAGCCCATTCACCTATCATGTATACCACATAAGATGCATCTATGATATGGTTACATGTGCAATTATTATTTACCCGCAACCTGATATTTGCGAGGTAACTTGCTCAATAATTTAATTTCGAGCATAATTTTCATATTTCTATTCGAGACAGTTCATCTTGATAAGTTGGTTTACATCACAATTGATTTAGCAAAATAATTTATTAAATGCCTCCACTTAATATCTAAACTATTTTTTTTAATGAGAACAAAGTTATCTATATCAGATTGATATAGGTTATATACGAAAGTATATTACATTCTACCCTCACAAGTGGTTCAGGGTCAGGAACTAATTAATTTCATCTTATTATTATCGATGTGTAGTGTATATTTTAATTAACACTATAACACACAAAGGTGAGTTTCCAAAGTTGAGGAAGCAAGTTAGTTTTTCTAACATGAGGGGGAGACATGATAAACAGTTGAGAAAAAGTTACGTGGAATAAATTATCATTTGTACCTCTAGATCCTCGAAGATAATATGAACTTGAAGTTTGTTAGATTATATGAGTCCACCACAGTATAGAGTACCTGGTCCTCTATGAGTTTTCACTAAAAATACTAATGAACCAAACCGTATAGAGATCTGGTACTATATAAGTTCCCACAGTGGTAACTACAGAACCAGTATGTAAATGAGACATAGGATTTTTACGTGGAAAAATCCCACTCAAGGGGATAAAAACCACGACCTACACCTGTAGGCTTTCAACTTCACTAACTTGTAAAATACCTATTACAAGCCACTTTGTAATGGTTCCATTACAAAGAATGCAACTCAACTAACTTGTGGTACTCTTACCACAAGCCACTTTGTGACTCCCTAGTTACAAAGACTTTCACTAACTTGTGATGCTCTCACCACAAGACACTTTGTCACTCTACAGTTACAAAGGCTTTTGACTAACTTGT